ATTAAATAGGTTAAAATTTTAGCTCTTTAGGTAGGTTCTTTTTAGGGTTTCAGAGCCAAAATCCTAACTGAAGGTAAATTCATATACTGTAATAAAAGTTAGCGGTTATCATTAGGTTTTGCAAAATTTTTAGTGGTTTATTGGTTTAGCATTATTGAATTAGACTTTGGAGTTGGTGGATTAGCAGGTATCAAAACTAACTCTTCGGTTAGCTGTGCCCTTCACTGGGTAATAACACGGCAGGTCAGTGACCATTCCAGCCAGAATGAGGGTTCCCCACTGTGGAGTCCAAAGGCTCCTTGACCACATGGATTCCTGCCTCTGAGAAACATTCGCCAGCCAAGTTCGAATAGAACATGCACAGCAGCACCGAGGATGTCACGGTTCAACTCCATAAGAAAGAGCAACGTCGACGTAAAGATGACGAGGAAATAAACAAATAATTCTTGCTTGACTCGGTTACAAAATTTATTTCCATATAAAACACTGTATGAAACAGTTGAACATAAGGGCACGATCCTGGGTATAAAAATGCTGGGATTTTTTTCATTAAAGGACCAAGCAATCTTTAATATATTAATTGGGATTGCCCTAATGGGAACGATCCAACAAATCAAATATGGCAGATGATACAGCTGAAAGGTCAACAGCAGAAATGCTATAATGCCCCAGTTATTTGGGAATATATGCAGATCAAATTGTGTTTTTCATCTGTTCCAAGGTCTAGCCAAGGTGTGACTCCCACGATGATGATGAATCACTGTGAATCTTTGAAAAGTCTGTTAAGTCCTCATATTCTCTGACATTTGTCCAGGGGGCATTTCTGCTTTGTCCACAGAAGTTGTTATAGGCCATCGTTTACTTTTCTGCAAAGGGAAGGAGTTGAGTGAACTGGACTAAAATGTGACTGAAAGTTGGAGAAATAGTCCACTGGTGCTGTTCAGTTCTTCTGGCTTCTGGCTTCCAGCTTTGCAGTGACTCGGTGGGGTCAAAGGTGAGTGAAAGGCTGAGTGGTTCCCGCTGGACATCGGTGACGCCGGTTGCCTTCCTGGTGTCCTCAGGGAGCTACCAGAGACCGAGAAGGTCCATCACAGCGAGAAGAGTGGCAGGCTGTTAATGAACCTCGCAGTTGGTTCATGAGCAGTGACCCTCACCAAAGCAACCAGCACTGAACTGACAGGGCTTCAACAGAAATATGGCCAACAGGGACTAAAGAAACAGATACAAACAGGGAGCCAATTTTAAAAAGTGTTACTTGGGGGAAAAACACTGCCATAGAATAAGAAGAATTAAAAAATAAACAAACAAACAATAGTGACCCGGGTCACCAGGGATGATGGTGACGATGCAGAATTGGAGTGGCCATACTTACTTACCTGTTCATCACATCTAGCACTCTTCGTAGCTGGTGTAAATAACAATGTTAGACTAAAATGCAGAAACTAATCGCTGCATTTTGAAAACCTGCTGGAATCAATGATAATGCTACATTAAACTTCCGGAACAAATGAGTGTTCAGCTCAGTTCCGTGATCTTCAGAAACTAGTTGAAGGGCGTTCTCTTGTGAAACCTATCAAAGCTTACAGATTAGGAAAGGGTCAAATCATGCACAACACATTGTGATACTCAGAACTACTGCCTTACACACGTCTTCAGCCTGACCCAGCATGACACACAGACCCAAACACAAACACCTTATTGGGCTTGCACCAGACAAATTAAAATCCTTTTTTATGATAGGCAATAATCAATACATATAGGCTTTTATCTCAGGTGGGACAGACTTGCTGCACAAAGTGGTAGAGGTAAATGACTCTGCCTTTTCTTTGAAACATCCTGTAGCTGAAATAAATAGTAGTTTAAGCTGTAACAAACCAACATAATAATGGCCCTTATACTACTGCCAGGAAGCAGACAGCACCATGCCATCTTCGCTGTCTGCATTATTTCTGCATTACCGTCTTCCTCCAACTGACGTCGCCGGGATCATGCCATACGTATTCCTCTGGTCACATCACTGGCCGTACATTCAAAGCAATCCCTGTTCCCATGTTTTTTTTTTTTATCTAATGCTTTCCAAGCTTCCCAAGTCAGAGTTTTCAGCTGAGCTGAAGTAAAGAAGAAAAAGGTATAAGCTTTAACCTGCTTACGCTCCCTCTGAAAGACCGGGACTCGACGAGTGAAATGGGCTCGATTTGAGCACTGGCTGGCGGACAGGGCGGTGTGTCTGTTTTTAACTACCTCAGGATTCACTCCCACGGTTGGGCCAATGAGAATGAAAGATGAGACCAAGCCATCTGTCGAAACAACGCTCTGGCAACCGCTTTTGTTTTTATGGTCAACGTTCTTCAGCATTTTGTCGTCAGCCAGATGGCACGGATATCCATTTAGACTGACAATATGCACCGAACATCTTTCTTTAAACCAGCGCATTACGAAAAAATGCATGGGGAAACACAACTTAAATATCGGTATAAAAACATTTCTACAAGTAGGACCCTCATAAAAGACAGTACAGATACACATCAAACTACTCCCACCAAAGACACGGACCATGGCACACAACCAGTTTTTTTCATTTTGCTAAATTAACCAAAACAGAAGAAAATAACAAACAAAACAACACAAAAAGAACAAAAGCCACAAACACAATGTGGGGGGACCAGCGTTTTTCAATGCTAGAAAAAGCAGTGGACGGTGTTTATTAATGAACTTTTGTTACCCCACCTTAGTGAGAGAGAGCGTGAATCATCCATTGGGGAAACAGGTACAGAGGAAGGGAGTCATATCTAAAGGGCTCAATCATGGGCAAAATCAGTGAGAAATGTTTTTTTTTCCTATAAAACAACGGTGCAGAAATACTCATTTTTTCGTCATCAAATAGGTGAAAGAGAATCCTTTCTGAAGAAAAATCAACACATTTCAGAAAGTTCTTTTTAAAAAAATCCCCATCTGCTAACCCCAGTCCTTTACTTAAAGTTTTTGTGTGAAAATATAGAAGTCTTCTTTTCCTTGTTCATCCTCTCATTAAAAGTTTCTCTCTATATGCACATGTATGTGTGAATCTGTATGATGTGTGTAAGTATGTACTGCAGGGACACTCTATCTTTGACTGATTATGTTTCCGTGTGCCGGTGGGATTCATGGTCAGTTTTTCTGTATGTGAGTGTCAGAGTGTGTGTTTGGTCTCTGGCCTCAGACTTCGGTCTGGAAGTCCCCTTCAGACGTGTCAGGGGTGTTGGCTGAGGGCACGTCCCAGTTCTTGTTGTGGAGCTCCAGTCTATCCTTTTGGTCGGCAGGTCTGGATGAGTGGTCATAGGCCATGATCTTCAAGCAGTCCCAGGAGTGCTGGTCTTCGGGCTTGTTCTGCCAGGGAAGATCACATGGGGAGGGGGGTAGAAAAAAAAAAAAACCTTTGTCCTGAAGCATAAGGTAGGCCAAACATCACACTGCCTTTCAAGAAGTGAGGAGCAAATTTTCAAAACTCACTCAGTCCACAAGGCAGGTCTTTGTGAATATTTCTATAGAATTAGTGAGCTTTGGAAACGTAATAAAAGTCCTCCACTGGATTGCATGAGGACTGAGTGAGTTTTCGTTCCCCATCCTGTAACGTATGATGAGGAATCCCGATTATAGGTCATTGGCGGTCTCATCTCAAACACAAGGAGAAATTTGTTTTTCAGTCTCCTCTGATTGCTTGATATTCCTATGCATATTTCTACAACACAGGAGTACAATTCAGAACTTTGTTGGACAATGTATCCACATGTAACTGTAGGAGATGGGGTTGAGCAGTAGAACCCACTTTCTAGTGGCTACATGTAGAGCTGAAGGACCCTGTGTTCTTCTGCCTGATGCCGCTCTCAGCAGAAGTGATGCTAGGAAATGACCCTATTAGTTAGGCCTCTCCCTGGGTCACATTTCCAACCAACAGCAGAAGAGGGAATGGAGCAGATCTGTGGTAATTAAGGAACTGAACCGGTGATGAAAGGTTACCAGTTCAAAGTGCAGGTGGGAAATACGCCATCTGATCGGCTTCAGCGAATATGCAAACATATTTATGCTGCACACAATTATCAATGAAATATTTAGACAGGACCATACTGACTGTACTGGGGAACAGCCAACAGAGTGTGGTGGCTCCTCCTAACCTGCTCGTTTGGCCCCGGTCCCTCCTTTACATTCTGTACACATACACACCAACATCCCGAAGAGCCTCTTCAATCAAAAATAGCTTGGGGAATTTCGTTCCTTTCAGGGACTCCCTAGAGAAGATCACTGCTCACTCAGATATTCAGCACCTGCAGTCATCCTTCGCACTACTGCCTGATATGAGGCTGATGTCGACTCCAGCCACCCTCCGACCACCAGGGGGCGGTGTGTGACCGGCTCTCATTTGCACAGTATCCCTGACATCTGACTTATCAAATGATTACAAAGAAAATAATTTTTTCATTTTAGATCTACTTTGCAAATTCTGCAGAGGTAACCGTTTTCAGGACAGAAGTGAGAATTGCGGCTGCGCTGTGGCAGTGAGTGAGCATGCTCACGTCATCGTGCTGCAAGCATACACGTATCACCCCAGGCCAAATACTCTCTGTCACTTATTTTCTACTTACGCTTGAAGAGTTCTTTTCACCTCCAGCAGACGAAATGCTCCATCGCTTTTCCCTCTGAGGCGATGAAAACGAACAGACAGAAAAAGGGCGGGGGGAGGAGGGGGAATTACAGTCACTCCCCGGTCTGAGAGAGACACAGGTGTCCAGTAAGCGAGTCTGCCATCTCCTTCTGTGCTCATGGCAACCCCCCGAGGATGAAGAGTGCCCAACACCGAGGTAGAACCTGGCAACAAGTGTCATTACGCGAAAGAAACTGACCATATGGGGTCAGTCCTGTGAGGAAAGCTCAGGCTGCAATGATGACCTGGGATATCTCAGTAAAATATGATACAATTGGATATAATATCAACTATAAAGTATGCGGCTTGGGATTCATTTGATAGGAAGTCGTGTTCTAGATTGGGGCTTAAAACAGGCAGAGAGGAGAGGGCACTGTTGCCAGGGGTAGAGACCCATACCTGCTGATGTACTATCTGATTGGCTACTGGATAATCCCAGAGATTCTTCCTTTGTGGTTCTGTGCCCTGTAGCATGGGGACAATGTTTCATAGGCTGGCTGACTGTCTGTGAAGAGGCCAAAAAACATCCCCCAAGAATTCTTAACTTAACCTGCATTACACCAATAAACATCAACTTCCAGAGGGAAGCAGGACATTCCTGCTGATGTACTAACTGGATCTGGCACCTCAGGATCCGGCTGGGACTTGCAGTGGCACCTCTGTGCACCACCCACGGCAGCCCCCCAAAACAAGCCAACACTTATAGCCAAGCTGCTGGCCTAGCTGCTGGTGTGACTATACCAAGCTGAGCGCCTCGTCCATTCTCATGTGAAATGTTCCCCATGTCGGGTGTTTTGGGTTGAACAAAGTGTTTTCCGGTCGGGGCCTTTAGCTTGTGGAGAGTGCGGAGGCAGCAGAACGCGATGCACAGGCAAAGCCACTACATGACTAACGTCATCCCACGATGTCGCCGTGCAAAGAAACACCATCCACATGTTCACTCTGCTACTTACTGCTTCCTGGTTGATTTGGATCTCATACAGTGACATGCACAGTTCCAGCAACCAGCTGGGCAGCTGATAGGTACACCCACCTACGAGTGAGCATCTGTGGGTGTGGCCTGTCAGTACAGTTAACATACAGGAAAGACGTGAAGACAGGTTGTGACATGTGCGCGCTGTCCCCCCGTCACATGACCCACTGAACATCATGCCCCACCCCGCCAATGAAATAATGCGGCTTCGCGGGACACTAATGTTAAACGTAATTATTTACAGCTATGCTGAAAAATAGGCACACTAAAGGAATTTAGCTGGTATAGAGTAGAAAAAGGGCTTGGAGGTCATAGGTTAAAGGTCAAACAAAGTCATGCTTAGCACAAGTGTTGGGATGCAAGAGGTCAGAGGTTAGAGGGCACACTACAGACCCTGCATGGTTAGGATGGTGAAACAGAGGAGTAAGAATACAGAGATGCTAATTTATTGGGTTTGACGGGCTTGTTTAAAGGAGCAATTTGAGGAGCGACAGCCAAGGAGTATTTGCTCTACTTTCTAACTTTAGCAGACGTTTCTACTTCATTCACGATGTTTTTTCTTACTCTTTACCTTTTTTGTGTTTCTCGCCCTTGGTTCGGATGACTGCCTGGCTAGAGTCAAACTACGACAGAAAACACGCAGCGTAAACCGGAGCATTCAGTGAGAGTACAAAGGCATTAATCTGCATATGTGGCACAAGGCATGTTCATGGGCTCCTAAGGGGGTGGGAGGTACTTAGTGACACAGGCCAGGTGAGCAGAAAAGCAGAAACTGGCCCTGGATCTGCGAGAGAGCAGGGTCTCCAGTGGCTTAACAGGTCCATGTAACTGCTAGATGACAGAATGGAATGCTGCTGTGATATCCATGGCAACCGAACTCCCTCCAAATCTCATCTGCTCTAAATATCACTTGTAATTAATATGTATCTCATGTTCCTCCTAGCAAAACCATAATAGCTAGCTAAGACTTATAACATCCTTCAACATACAGTCGAGGACAGAATACTTTCAGTGTGTCTTTATCTGAAACTTGGACTCGGAATCATAAAATACTTTGCAAAGTGCTTGCGGTTAAATTGAATAAAATTATGAATAATGTAAAACGCATCAGATCTCAGAATAAACTGTGGCTGAAGTGAAATAGGCTAAAGCAGGGACTTCAGCGACACCCGGCCCTGTTAGATCATTACTGGCACTCTCCTTGGCCCAGGCACCCAACCACCATGCAAAAAAATTTAACGCGTAATCCAGACTAAGAAAATGGAGAAATATGGGCTCATTATGGTGAAGGCATGAAAATTATTGAAATGCCCTAATGAGACAAATTAATTATTCTATTAGCGATTCCATTACGCAGCACGGGGCTCACTCACAGATGAAAGGAAGAAACAAATAAGTACTGATCTGGCACCACGAGCCATGAGGGAAGATGGAAATGAAAATACGTTTCAAGGAAAAGCTAGAAAATGGCCTAAGTTGGGCTTCAAAAAAGGATTCCAGTGGGGCAGGTTGTGGTGAACCATCTTGGCTTATATTGGTTGGCTGAACCCACATAGCCTCATATCGTCACGGAGACGTGTCGTCAACTCGGCTGCCTCAGCACAAGTATCGATCCAAGGAGATCAAAAACCAATTTTTAAATCTCAAATGTCGAGAACAGACCTTGCACCTAATACCGTTAGCTGGTCTACTCCCGCACTCATTACCAAATAATCCTCTGCTCTGTTCATCCTTGACTCATCGATCGCTATGACTGAAGGCTAGTACACGCCCATTATCCATTAGCAGCCTTATCGAGTTACAGCACCCCTCCTGGAGGAGGTCACCTGGTTTTCCAGCAGCTCAATAGCTAATGTGCCAAAAGGATATTCAAAGTGCGGCACGTGCTCGGGCTGCCAGAGTTTATCTGCAGCTGGTGGGGCTGAAGATGCAGAGAATTACGGAGACAGCAAGAGGAGCTATGTGATGGAGGGGAAATAGAGAGAGGGCAGGAGGAGACCCATCCAGGGGGACAGACTGATTCTGAGTGGGCATCTTCTCAGAGTTAGTTCACGTGGCAGATCCTACTGTTCACATCAAGCAGCAAATAAAAAATAGAGTCAAATGGGATTAAAGAGTCTAAGAGGAGCTTTCCCACGAATATAAACACGCCTCCTCATTGGTGCCCTTGGTCAGTTTCACTTCAGCATTGCTTTATTTCTATTTTGACCCGTCAGTATCTGAGCACCTTTTCGAAGAGGAGAGTTTGCCACCTATCAACCAATCACAGGCCCCCATCAACCAATCACAGGCCTCTATCAACCAATCATGAGTCACAAGCCACAAGGTGATTAACAGCTACACTGAACAAACTGCATGTCTTAGTGTGTGGACAGTTCCTGTTCTCCCTACTGACCTGGCTTGGATCAGCTTGACCAAAATTGCGCCCCCCAACCCCAGGTTTATAATTATGACTTTGTGGGGACTCTCCATTCATTTCTATGGGGAAAACTCTAATCCCAATATGACAATCTTGACCTTCTATATTTGGTCCCCACAATGCAATATAAACAAAATCCACACACACACACTTGATGTTAGAAAAAAACACACAGAATAAACACCTCTTCTGAACCCAAGGGCATTCTTAACATTTACAGATACAGTAAGTTCTTGAGGCTCACTTAAACATGCTTACGTTGACTTTCTTTGTAAATGAAGCTCAGTTTCCGCACTAATTGTGGCTCTGTTTGCTGCAGCAGTCGAATGGGACGGACCTGTGTGAGTGAACATTCAGCCAGAGAAACGTCTTTGACAGACGGGTTGGTCAGGGGACATCGGGCAGGTTGGAAATGTGAGGTTTGGGTCTCTTAGAGAGGCAGCGTATTGTTTAGGGTTTAGGGTTGACAACATAACGGGAAGCGTAGCTGTTGTACATAAAGATCTTGTATTTTACAAGGGACTGAAAGATACTGAAAGGTAACTAGAGACTCTGAGGGATAATACATGCTAACTAATTCAAGAAACGGCATGCTCCTCAGCAACGACCTTGGAGCAGTAGACATGAGGTTTAAGACACGGTTTTGTGTCAGTTTTTGTTACGTTTATACCATGACGATAAATTCATGATGTTATACCAAGACAAGGTTTTTCAGACGGAACCAATTGATTGATTTTGAAAGGTGAAGTCTTCAGCTACCACACATTATCCACACCTTATTTTAAATCACTGTTTTACAGGAATCCAAGCCACCACCATATTCTAAATGAATACCCTAAGACCGAAAGGTTGCAGATACCTGGGGGGTGGGGGAGGAGGAGGGGTAGAAGGCTTGAGAAAGGGTAGGTAAGGTTCAAATCCACAGGGGCCATCTGTCAGCGGCTACCCTCAGGGTAATTATAACTCTTGCTCAATACGGCAGCTCATCATACTAACATTTACTTCCCTCTTTGAACACTGTGTGCTCAGGGTGAATTTCTTAATCCGATTTGCTTCTCATCTGCATATTAGAATCTCTTGGCGCTGCTTTATTGCTGGCCAAAGTATGAATTCTAAACGAAAATGGAGACGTACAATAGAGTTCGCATGACAGTTCCCTGCTAGTGACTGGCCAAGGTGTAGCAAGCAGTGAACAAGCTCATAGAAGAATTGCCTGACTCCAGAATGCCTATTTAATATTCTGCTTGAGGAGTATGATCAGTTTATAAGTTTGATTGGGAATCATAGAATGTAACCATTTGCTGAATAGGAGACTCTGCAAGCTACCAAATTAAATATGAATCCAGAAGCTTTAAACACCAAAGGGACTATACCTATACTGGCAAGATAAGGCAATAAAGGGAGACCAAACACTGCATTGGAAAAATGTTAAAATCTTAATGAAATACCTGCTGGATATGAGAGAGTAGGAATCTTGTTTCTGCTTGTTAAGATAACAAAGAACACGAAAATGTTCCGAATCACTACCATCTACTTCCAGTGTGTGATGAGTCACTATTATCGCATAGTATAGGCGTTGGCCAGCAGCAAAACTGAGCGGAAAAGGCACTGGTGATGGGTTAATTTTCTGGGGGGGGGGTGTCGAGCAATTTATTCTGATGGCATTATTTTGATGCTACAATGATTAACACTGGCTAGTTCCATTGTCTTTTGCACGGCATGCAAATGGGTGCACATGCAGGGCCAGTGGCCAAGCAGTCAACTGGCACTGGAGTTACGGGGGAATCACCAGTGTGTGTTTTCTAACGATTAATCACACACCCCTACTCTGGAAAAAAAAAAACTTGAAAAATAAGCTGGACTAAAAAGAAACTATACACATGTGCATGCGCTTAAACATTTCAGCATGATGCCAGCATTCATTTGGCAAATTGTAATCAGGCAGTCATAGCACCATGGATGTAATTATGATTGGGGTCCTCTTAGCAGCACTAGTAAAAACAACTGGAAAGGAAGCTCGCAGTCAAGGTCACACCGTACCATCTAATAGCAAATGGTGGCTTAATACTAATTATGTGATTGTTTAGAAGCTTGAAAATCTAGATGAGTAAGCAGGTTTCATCACAGCATCTAAATTCCTTCACAGCAGAGGATGTAGCGAGGACCAGGCTGATACAAGGAGACAGCGCTAAGTCATTGGTTTGGTTCATCTCAGATCTCAGAGGACGTGGAACACATGATGGGTGTCAATGTCGGGCTATCAGGACGGAGGCATTTAGCACAGCGGACAGTTACCTCTGCCACTGCAAACACTGACTGTAAGCCCAGCTAGCAAAATCTGTTTCTGAGGACATCTATTGCAATGCCAGTGCATTTTTCCAGTTCTCTGTGCTTTAGGAACATTACATTTCAAGCACACAGGCTATTCCTGAACATGCTGAGCAAGCTGTAAGATGTTAAATAGAACCTACCATTACCCCACCTTAGACACTGTTTTGTTGGTTATTCAAAATCCCCCACACCGAGACTTTCAAAGAACAGTAGCAGAACATCTCAGGAAGAAAAAAAAAGTCCAGATTTGTTTGTCAAATGTTCTGCTGAAATAATGCAGCAGCCAAATGATACTCACTACAGAGTATTCTCCTTCCTCCAAGTGTTTACTATACTCCTAGGAAAATACTGAAATGAAGCAAACCACTACTGTGGAAAACTGTGGGGGGGTTGGGCATTGACATGGCGATGTTGAGGGTGGGGGGCAGTGCAAGCAAGTTCCTATTTTGCCTGTAGAGGGAGACGATGCCCCACAGAGCAGAAGCTTACCTTGAAGGTAGACCTGGCAGGTTCTCTGCTATACCTGTCTATGGTGTGGAACTTGGTGGAGTGGTTGATTTCATGGTAGAGCTCTGAGTGTCTTTTGCGAGTGTGCATCACTTTCTGGAAGGAAGGCAAACAATGAAAAATAAAAAGAAGAAAAAAGAACGAGGGAATGCTGGAGGAGTTAGGGACTGCAGTGTGTGTGGTGCTGACGGGACTCGTGCCGGACCCTTTATGTTTGTGACTGACTGGTAATGGCAACTTGCACTCTACATGCTCCGTGGTCAGCGATGCTCCAAGAGACACGGAGCTCGGACACCGTCATCTCCATTTAGCATTAGCCGCTCAGGCTCGGCCTGGCTGTCTGATCGACACAATCGAGCTGGTTTTTGATCAGGAGCAACAGCTTCTCACTCAAATTATGGCTGAGGCTCTGCAATCGAGTATTTAATTTCTTTTTGACTGCTTGTTTGTCATGAGCTAAAACATTTAGTAGAAGGAGGTCCTCTGGTTTTGAGCCAACCTGTCTGGCTTTATAACTTTATGTTCACGGGCATCAGAGTTTGAGAAATCCCTGTGATCTATACCTTGCGGTTTGTAAAGCTAGAAAAGCACAAGATCGCAGCCCAGATGTCAGTTAGGCATCCAACAGCCAGACATACCTTCTGAGATGATGTCTCAACATCGGATCGCAAATCTCCAGTCGAAATAAGCCTCAAGTCCACTGTGTTCGCTCTAATTTGGGCCAGATTAACAGGTGGTTACCTCAGTGCTCAGTGAGGATTTTGGGGGTATCGGAAGGATGACCTGTACCTACAAATGATCCAGGCTGGAGGTTTGCTTATTCCCTGCCTCTGTAGATGCCAACAAAACCACAAGCTACCCCCCATCTCACTTCCTTTCTTATCTTCATTTCCATACATTCACAATGATGCCAGACACTCAACATCCATGTCACTTTCTGCTAGGCATGGATGGGGAATACAGCGGAAAAGCTTATGCTAAATTAAATGCATGGAAACAAGATTTTGGTGGAGGCTCTATTCTTCCCCAACCTCTGTCCCACACAGCTGCCCCCCCTCTGAGCCTAGAGCGAACAAAAACACAGAAAGCAGGCCCACACAAACAGGTATGTGGGATCATCAGGCAAACTCTTACCTCAAAGTCCAGCTCAGAGTACCGAACTCTTTTCCTCTGGAGGAAGAGAACATATCGTCAATGACAGTTTCTACGGCCACAAGCCACTATCAACACAAACAATGGTGTAGGTGCCCCCTGCAGAACGGACTCAGCTCATAAAGGCAGCTCTGACAGGAAAACTTGCCTAAACCCAACCAGCCAGCATGACAATCAGAACGGCTGGATTCTATTCAGATAACAAGAAAATACTGAACTAATGATGGATTAAAAGTGGCCACAGCTGACATGTTCTCAATCAACTAACCATCACTCAACCTTATGGTTAAACTTCTACTGGTAACTGAGTCAAATTCTGGTACATGTCTGATTTACTGCACATTCCACTAGAAGGAGTAAATGTAGGCTAGTATTTGTATCTAGATTAGCAAAAACTTCTGGCAGGACATTGTCACAATATCTGAGTCCGTGTGTAACCTTAATTTGGAAGGATCTAGTTAAGATCAATTTCTGTAAACTCCGAGAGCAGAAATACATTTAGCCTTATACAAGAAAATAAAGAATCAATGGTCAGTAGGTTTTAGGGCTGTTTTCTAAGTAGATTCACCCTGGTGGAAATGGCTTGCTGATAGTGAATATTGTAACGTCACAGTGACCTTGCACTTGTATGCTAAACCTCGCCAGACTGCATTTTGCAGGAAGGACCTCTTAGAAGGAAGCTTCTCCTGTTAAGATTTGGATGTGGTCAGAGAGAAAGGAACTGATGTCCTCATTCAGCCGTATTTGGGTAAGTAGCATTCTGACTACAGACTTTAGCACTATGCTAAGTAGAGGTGAAGAATAATGTAAAATCCTGATTGCAACTGTATTCCGCAGGTAGACCACCCAAAGACGCACAAGTCAGCTTCTTTGCAGTCCCACAGCAAATGAATCAGTAGAAACGTTCTACTCTTACCTTTCAAAAGGTCATCCTCAGACAACACTTTTTCATACACAAAAAAAACCACACACAGACTATATTCTAGTCTATCTTCTGGAGGCTAAGACCCCTGCATGAAGTCTTCATTCCAGTCAGAAGACCTGTTTGAACACCAGGGCAAAAAAGGACCTTTGAGGGATTTCAGGTGAGACGTTGATGTACTCCAGTCATAAAAAAAACACAACAGGGATGTTTAACAAGAACAACTCAACGGGACGGGCAAGTGTGTGCTGAGCTGGACTTTCCCGACGAGACAAATCACAGCCCTCCTCCTGGTGCCCATCAGTGTCCCACAGAATGCACCGTCAGTCCTCTAGCTCAAGGAGGAAGCCCAGTCCTGTTCATCAGCGGCTTTATAAGCTGGCAGCCTGAGCAGTAGCCTGGGACTGGAGGGGGGGTCGGTCCACCACCTGGTCCAGACGTACCTGCTGGCAGGTGCAGGCTAAGAGCCAAACACCCCTCCCAGCTCGCGGTGGATACAGGAGAGGGTTCCTCCTTCCGCTACGTCTTAAAGAATCACGCCACCCCTTCACTTTTTCCCTCACCTCCTCTGGCCACGATTTGCCTTGACCCCCCCATCACCAGCCCAACTACCCAACACACCTCACACAAAAGGGCTTCAATTTTTAATGAGACGTGTAAATGTGGATGTTGTGTGTCAGGTACTTCATAGCTGGGTCACAGACTAGCAGTTAGCTGCTCATTTTTTACTATATCTCATCACTATATCGCTCATTCCACTACAAAGGGACAAAATGTAAGCTTGTATTTGTATCTAGATTAAAACTCTGTACAACTGCATAAAAAAGTCCTTCTAGAAACCCGACCGATGTCAGCTTTGCTATAAGAGTCGGGGGTTAGCCCGCCTGCCTCGGTTAATCACAATGGCTTCTGCATGACCGACGGAGAAGATAAACACATTGACGTTGTTTGGGGAGGCAGGGAACCGGGAAGAGAGCACTTTGACGTCAGGTTGTTTCGCTTGATCTGCGGTACGCCACCTCGGCACGTAGCCCCTCCCAGTGGGCCTGTGGTGTAATTACAGTACCTGTCACATACGCAGAGGACCACCCCAGGACTGAGACACACCGCCAGATTTTAAGGGTGAGCGACGGGGCGAGCAGCTTGCCGGAATGCCCTCGGAAACCTGCTCCGTGCTCTCGACATCTCAACCGCGGCAGCTGGAGGAAGTGTGAACCCGGGAGTCCCGCGACGGCGCACAGGAGGACATACGACCCGCTGGGGGGCGTGCAGTGGAGGTGCACGGCTCCGGTCACTCGCAGTGAGTGGAGCAGAAGCTGAGGCCTATTATGGGAGCCTGACTATAAGCAGAGCGGAAGCTGTGGGTCTTTAATTGGAAGCTCACGGTGAGTGGAAGAGGAACTGAACTCTAGCGGGATGCTGACTATAATTAGAGTAGAAGGTGCTACTCACACTGAGAGGGGTAGAATCTCTGCTCTATAATCAGATACAGACAGTGTGAGGAGCTAAAATTTGCAGCCCGAACTTGATACTCACTCTATTCAGAACAGAAGCTCTGGGGTCCGTTTCCCAAAAACAGTGCAAGTGCATGAGAACTACTGTATATCATCTCAGGGGGTGAGCTGAATACGATGATTGTATGGTTGCCGTGTTTTTGGGGAATATGCCCCTAGGCCAAATTGGACAGAAGTGTGTGAAGGGGAACTATTAAAGTGGACTATTAAAGTGACTCGAAAGTGACTCGATTCTCATTGGTTGCAAAGTGACTCGATTCTCATTGGTTGTTCAGCAAAATCCCTTGATTCTTATCGGTGGATCAGCAAAATGACCCGATTTTCACATTTATTGGCTGGAGCGAAACGGAAGCTATGCGTGGCATTTTGCAGTGCAGCTGCATCGGGGTTGGAGGTGAGGTGGGAGGCTCAGGTGGCGAACAAAAGACATTTTTGATTGGGGCGGAAGGGAGGGATGGCGTGACACCTTAAGCCTCTTCACTACTTACTTCCAGGGAGCCCGCAGACAGGCTGGTGTTGGTGTTGGTGCTGCCCAGGTTTCGGGGCAGGGTTCTGGTCCTCTCGACCGTGCCGGAGGCTAGGATCTGCCGTACGGAGGGGCGCTGCTGGAATTGCAGCGCGTGGGCGGGCAGCTGCTTCAGCGTGCCGTAAGAGCGGTTTAGGCCCGTGCTGATACGGTCCACCGACGCAAAGTCTGGGTAGGCCTCACTCTCAGCGGGGCGCAGCGCCAGGGGCGAGGGCGGTGGGGGGAACGGTGGGTCATCCACAGTGATGTTCAGCGACTTTCCCTCGTCCTTAGCAAGCGGGGGCTTGAGTGTGACAGTCCTGCGGGGCAGGACCATGTAGTCCCCCTCACCAGCGCCCCCCGCCTCCGGTGGTTTGGCCCAGCCTAGCCCACTCTCGGTACAGAGATAGACTGGCGCCCCCCGCTGGTGTTGCTGCTCCACGTTCACCTCCTTCTTCAGGGACTGATCGCTCAGCTCGTTGAGGCCCCCTAGGGGCTGCACCTGCACCAGCAGGTTAGGTGGTGGGATGTTGCCAGGGAGACTGCTGAAGTTGACCCCGCCCTCCCGGTGGGCCGCCAGCTTGGGGTCATCCTCGTCGTCCAGGGAGATGCGGGACAGCGTGCCCGTGATGGTGGCCGGGTTGCAGGTGTTCACCTCTTTAAAAATGACTGGGGGAGATAGAGAGAAAGAGAAAGGGACAGAAGGGGGAGAGGAGGTGGGAATAATGGAGGGAGCGGTGGAGGAAGAAGGGATAGAGACAGAAGTCAAAGAAGCAGATACAAGTAAAGAGGAAGGAAGCGATGAGAAGAAATTGGGAAGTATGGATGTAATAAATGAAAGGATAAAGGAATAATGACAGTAAATTAAGTTAGAACAGAGGGAGAAAAAGAGAGAGGATGATGGAAGAGGAAGTAAAGAGAATTAAAGGATCGTGAAGAGGTGGAGATGCAGCGACGTGAAATATTCATGGCGAGGATGTGAAGGTCACACACAGGGCCAGGGGATGGAGGACAAGAGACCAAGAGAGGAGAATGTGGTTGGGGGGTGTTTTGGGGAAGGGTGCATCAAGAAGGTTACGTGAAGTGGGTGTATCAGATCAGGGTGCACATGGGGCAGTCCATGCAGAATTAAAGACTCTGTCACATTGCTGTGAAAGAACATGAAGCAGTCCTCTGCACATCAGATTATTTTGGATGAGCAAACAATTATATCGGAAACAGAAGCACTTCCACAACAACAAAAACAAAAAAAAATGCAGCCTGCATTTTGAGTTGTGAATTTCGTAAATTAACTGTACAATAATGAAAAATAAGCCAGTTCGCCCATGTTCACCCCAGTGTTTCTGAAGGGTGATGGCATTAGTGCTCAAAACACATTTAAAAAAGCTAAAAACAAATCGCGTCTGAGGCTGAATGAAGAATGATAAATGTAGCGATAAAATCTGAATAGTAGCAGTCAACTGTTAGGCCCTCAGTTCTAAACTTTTTTTCCAGCTACTGCATCTGTAGAGAGTTTGCCAGACCCCCAGTCGTGACGTGAAGTACCTCTTGTCATGCAAAATGTACCCCATGCTCCTTTTGAGGTTTACAAAACCTCACTGCAGAGCTCAGGGTTCAGAACCACTGATTTAGACTTTAATGATCATGGATGACATAAACCCAGAGAGAGCTGGATGCAATCTGCTCCACAGGCGTAAAATCAATCAATGCTGGGCTCAGTGCTAAAGGAAATGGTTCAGCCAGAATTAGTAGCCCATCGCGTGCCGACTGATCTGGGCAGGCACCGTGGTGGTTCTGAAAGAGGCCCGACGACCTATAGAGCTACAGGGTACAGGGCCAGATACCTTCAGCGAGTAACTGGATTTGCATCGTTCCCGTGAAGACCCCAGTCGCAGTGACACATGTAAACGTGCAAATATGTTAAGCAAGACAGTTCAGATCAAATGGTCTGAGAAGAAGGAATGTAACGGTGTAATTATACTTTCTGCCACTACGGACGAGGGCAGTGAGTGCAAACACACGGCATGCGAGGCGAAAGACTTACATGGGTGTCCTCTTTCTGAAAGTGTGCAGAGAGAAAAAGCATTAGTTCAGTAGCAGGTTGCATGTCGAAGACAGGCAGCCGCAGAGCAACGACATTCCTGCCTGCTTACAGTACATCTCAAGAGAAACGGATTCATAAACAATAAACTGAAGTGAGACCAATGGAAAATTAGCACTGCTAATACTGCAACACCGTTGCATTACAAGCACAGACTCGTTTCAAAAATGATCAATTCAAACTTTACATATTACCACCTGCTCTTCCTATTCAGTACGACATTATTAATATGCAACGAAATGCTTTCTTACCTGTTTGACATGCCAAATCCACGTCTTTTTCGAAGTCTGTCTGCATGCGGAGAGGGGGCAAAGAGGGGAGGGTTAGAGGAGGCAGGGAGGGGGCGACAGCGGGCTGGGGCAGGGAGGGGTCAGCTGGGGCGCTGGGTGCCGGAACCAGCAGGGATGTCTGACTGGGGACCGACTGGGACATTGAGGTCACGGTGAGTGAGACAGAGAGGTGGGCCCAGGGGAGAAGGACACGGAGACACTTTATTCAGCATTTTCAGCTGTACTTAGGCACATATACACATTTGCAACCAAATATTCCACTCTAGCGGGCTGCTTATTGGGGAATCCTGGTACAAACTGTCCACATTGGACTGCAGAGAAAACTTTTGTTCCTGGTGCCATGTTTGTCGGAGTCCACCTACTGAGCATCTATGCCAGGGGTGGCCAATCTTTTCCGCAAATGCCAGTGTGTATGCAGGTTCTCAGGATAACCTTTAGGTCAGCTGTTCAAACTGTTCAAGCTGTTCAAACCCAGGGATCAGGACTCTTCAGCCAATCTTATCCAGTGCCCCCCCCCCCCCAAACAGGCTGCCAAGTAGAGCATCCCAGGTAGGTATTCACCGTGACGACGCTGCCAAATAGCCAGGCATCCACGAGACACGGTGCTATGTTAGCATCAAGCGCTAGCAGAATTAGCTTTGCTTCAGTAAACTTGCATTATGAATCCATTCTGTTCAGCTGTTCTATAGCACTTTTTAAAGGACATTTTCAAGTTCCGATTTATCGGTAACGGATCAATACACAGTGATGTACAATACTGCTAATAATGAATGTGCCATTTTTTCCCTTCAGGTAATACATGCTCAGAACACCAGTATATCTGTGCATTTTGATTAATCAGATGGGGAATGGGCTGGGTATGGCGTAGGTACGACTCGGCTCTTGGTGGAAAGGCGCTATATGATATGAGGAGGGGCAGTGGGTGTAATCAGTGACCGTCTGCATCAAAAGCAGCTGGGATCCCAGTGGGGAAGCGGCAAATCGACAGCAGGGATAACAGTCAACGTGCAAAAGTAATAGAGTGAGCAGCTTAAGGGGCACTGGGGGCTGGGAGAACGGCTGGCGTATATTAATGAGTGAGGGAGAGCCTTACAGGAGGGCGGAAGGGGGTGTTACATGTACAATATGTTATCTGCACCAAAAGCTTATCAAACCCTCGCCAAAAATGTCTCAGAGGTTACTGATGAAAAATGTTGCGCGTTTAAAATTTGAGCTCGTATTTGTAATCATATTAAAGAGCACGCATGAATTTAAACTGAATTAAAGTAACTTGAAACAGAAACAAAAAGAGCTCTGATAATCCTGCCGTCTTTGCGGCGTTGGGCTGACGCAGGAATAGCAACATGGTCAAGAAATCCGGACGTTTATTGAGAGGGCGAGGAACAGGACAGCTGCCGTTCCACTGAGACTGACAGTTACCTGGAATCGCTGCAATAAATATCTAACTATCACTGGGTCAATTGTAAAACTATATGGTTTGCAAACTGACTTTTATTACTGACTTCTTAAAGCCCATATAGAATTTTAAGAGTTTAAAACAAAACACACAAAAATTAAGCACCGCTACATACGGTTTACCTTCTGGATCCTTCCAGACACATACAAGTGACGTTAATGCACCTGGGGGGGACTTTTAAAGCCGTCTGAGAGGGACACAGTTTTCACGATGGAGGCCTGCTCTGCTCTACCTGACCTACTAGCTAGTGGCATTTAGGGACAATTCTCCTGCGCAGGAACGTGTGGGGAGGAAAAAAGATCAAGACAGAAGGGCAGCCTCAGAGAAGAAAGCAGAGGAACGATACAAGAAGGATCAAGGGTAGCTACAGATGAATGTTGCATCAAACAAACAGATGTCATTTCCGAGTCCCAAAGACCAAGAATACATCTACAGGTTTCCTCCATTTCATTTCCTAGTAACAGCTGGTAAGTTCAAAGTTTATTACCAGTGGAGGAACCGAAGGAAGAGATTGCAGAGACAGTGAGCAGCAATGCCACAGGAAAACTGTCTGAAGATTGGCCTTGAAGGTAGCAAGCATATGTCAGCAATTTCTTCAGCAATGCTTTTATGCGAATAAAATCCTGTCCTGTGATTTACCGACATCGAAGTATACTGCTCTGAGAACAAGATACCAACTTTTATAGTTGAGCAAGACTTTTAACAACTCTGCAGTTTTTAATGGTGAGACACAGGAATGGCACGTTGGTCGCACCACTCTGGATAACAGACCTTTCAGGGGTTAAAGAACCAAATTCATTGCAAATGGTCATAAGTCTGGGTGCTGTTTTATTGCGCCTTAAATTAAACCAAAAAATTATTAAAACATTATCAGTGAAATTCACGCTGAAATTATGGATGAAAGTAACAAACTGTAAGATGGAATGAAAATGTGCTGCAGCCTTGAGGGGGATAACAAAACAGAATTCCGTCATTATAGGGTGAATTCAGGTAAGTAGTGGGCCATCCCGCCCCCCCCCCCCCCAATTCAGGTAAGTAGTGGGCCATCCCGCCCCCCCCGCCCTCCTCCCCGGGCACAAACCGTAGGAATCATACCAATTTAAACACAACTAAAACTCTTATATTTCCCCAAAGCTCAATATTAAATTAATTACAAAATATTTCAACACATTTTAACAAAAAAAAGTAGGTTTAACGCTGGAAAATCCATATCAGGAAAAACGCATTAGGCTAAAGCTTCTTATAAATGTTCATATTTAAAAAATAAATCTTTAATGAATGTATTATAATCTGAAGATGAAATCAAAGGGGTGGGTAACATTTAAAACCATTAAAAATGTTCAATTATTCAAAGTGTTAAATTATCTTAAAGTATTAAGAATTACGGCATCATTATCAGAGCTCTGTTAATTCCCAGCGTGTTTTTCACACTGCTTTGTAGGGTGGGTATGGTAATGGGACTCCAGGGGGCCCGAGCAGCCTGCACCTACATCCAGCTACAAGAAAAACAGCAAATTGCAATGCAAGGTTAAAATTTCTTGTCAGGAAGCACATAAATGTGTGATAACTTCATATTAGATCCAATAAAATAAGCCAGGATAGAAAGTAATCTTGTAATATGTTATTTTAGTAAATACAGTACCAGTCAAAAGTTTGGACACATCACCTTAAAATCATTCTTTTTTTCAACAAGATAATAAGTCAAAGCACCTCAAGATTATGTAAGTGCTGTATTATTTTGTGAATAAGGACAGAGATGGAGTGCTGTGACAGATAACCTGGCCCCCACAACCCCCCCGTCTAAACCCTACAGAGCTGGTCTGGGATGTGTTGGATCGAAGAGTAAGAGCAAGGTAGCCAACCGGTGCCCAGAACTTGTGGAAACTCCTTCAGGACTGTTGGAGAAGCTTTCCAGGTGGCTACTGTACATCTGGAAGCTGGCTGGAAGAGTGCCAAGAATCTGCAATGATGTCATCAAAGTAAAGGGGGCTATTTTGCGGAGTCTAAAATTTGTGAAAATTTTGAGAACATTTCTCTGGACTGTTGCAATATTTGATATGTATTAATTCATTGGCTCGAGGCCCTGTATTACACGATGACTAACAGTCAAAACAGAGACGAATGCAGTAGCAGCCGGTGTGTCCAGGCTTTTGACTGGTTCTGTACATTTATAAATCCGAGGTCTGCTGCCTTTCCAGTAATGTAGATGTTCTGGACATCAGAGAAAGGCGTTCCTTTGTTTCCGGACAAATGGCGTGCAGCCGCAGACCAGACTGCCAGTGCTGTAAAAGCCTGACAGTGCCACTTTACCCACTACCTGGATTCACCCAGCAGTGTGTCTCCATGAGGCTGGAGATGGGGTGAGATGGAATGTTATTCACCATGATCTGCACCTGGCCGTTCTTGCAGGAGTCGGGCGAGTTCTCGCTGTCGTCCTTGCACACGCCCATGCGGCACCGCACTGCGTCCTGCACCTGCGGTAGAGGCGTTGGGGGGTAAGCTGTTAATTGCCACGTGGCTTTGTGCTACGCTAAGCAGCTGTGGGGCGCTTAGTTGTTATTGCATTTTTACGCAGCTTAACCATCGATCGTTTCGCTTGTGGCTTCCCCACCCACTGGAACGAGCCGATAAACAAACACGCGGGATATTAAAACGCCTCGTGTTGAAGTATGCTAAAATGCACACGCTACGTGAGCGCGATGTCGATACCGCCGCGAGTGCTGTCGCCTTCCAACTCGCGCGCTTCCAAAGCCCGTTAGCCTTTTACCGACTCGTCGTTGGCACAACACCGCACATCCAAAGGCCGGCACTCCTGGCTTTCCCGAATCCTCTACCACACTGCGAGCGAGCATGTGGGTGTTTGTGAAAGCATGTGCTCTGCACGGCGTGCCGCTGAGTGGGCTGTGTGAGTGTGTCTGGCCTGTGTTAGCGCACAATGCGTCTGTCCAAGTGTGTGTGTCTGGGTCCGTCTGAATGTGTCAGCTTGCATGCAGGTCTGTCTGCCTCAGCCTCTGTCTGCCGCTGTGGCGTGTGACTATGTGTCAGTGTGGCTTCAGCTCCCTTGGTCTAATCATCTCCATCTCTGCAGCTGTGTCCATGCTGGCCTTTGGAGGACCTACTCACAGCTTCCACTTCTCCGTTGCTGCCACATGAGGGCGGCTATATTAGATTCTTAATAAAATAATGAAATGAGTTCAGGCGGCACAGAGCTTTCTGATTGACTTGAATCTGAGTGAGTGCTTCCTCCCCCTGAAAACTCACCTTAATTAAAGAGCATTAACCCCCCCCCCCAAAAAAAAATATAATGTTAACTACAGCATTTACCCCTCTACAAAAAGCATCTTTTTACAGTGTTACCTCTCATAAAAAATCCATATTATTTAGTATTATTACTCTAATTAGAGGACTTACCCCTCTGCAAAAAGCCTCTTTTCACAGTGCTACCTCTCACCAAAAATCCATATTATTTAGTATTATTACTCTAATTAGAGTATTTACCCCTCTGCAAAAAGCCTCTTTTACAGTGCTACCTCTCACCAAAAAAATCCACATTATTTAGTATTATTACTCTAGCATATTTACCCCTCTGAAAAAAGCCTCTTTTCACAGTGCTGCCTCTCAGCAAAAATCCACATTATTTAGTATTATTACTCTAATTAGAGTATTTACCACTCTGCAAAAAGCCTCTTTTTACAATGCTACCCCTCCCCAAAAACTCACTTTAAAGAACATAACCACTCCCCAAAAACTTATATTGTATTTATACATTACAAAAAAAAAAATCAGATTAACTATAGTGTTACCCCCCCTCCCAAAAAAGTTTAATTAGGGTTGCCCCTTCCTAAAAATTCAGTTTAATTAAAAAGCACAATCCCTCCCCAAAAACGGACTCACTTTAATTAAGTCAGCCACAATCGTAAGCAGAATCTTAGGAAACAGTGAAGGTAAACAGATGCGAGATAAAAGCTACAATACCCTCGAGCAAACATTTATCCCAAAACGCGAAAATTTTATTTCCAAGGGGATACAAGGCTAAATACCAAGTCACTTTGGATTAAACGTTTCGAGCAGCACCAGTTAAAAAAAGAAGGTGTAAATAAACTACTATAGTATTCTTAGAAATGTACTGTTTCATTCTGCTGCAACACTGTGAACGACACGTATTGTGTATTTGGAATTAAAGTAAAAAAAGACACTTCCACTACTCTGTCTTTTACGATGACTAACATGTTTTTTTGGGTCCCTATTCTAAATTTGTTTCCATATAATTACTGAAATAATTCTTGGATTTTTTTATTGCTATCCTGTATTTTGGGATGTCGACTTCACATATACAGTTTAGTGTTCCGGCATTTGATACAGACTCCCCCACCGGGATGTGCCAGTTAGCCTAGAGAACACACTGCCGGGAATTAGATAACAGCCATGTTGCATTCTGGGTACAGAAAATTTAGCCGGGCAAATAGCACACAGTGTAGAGAATGGAAACCAGAGAAGCAGATAACAGGAATCATACTAATCTCATCTTGATTCGGAGAACTGTTTGCTACAGCACAAAAAAAGCTGAGCCTTCCTTGCAGAATCAGTAAATGATAAGGTAAACCGTGGCCCAGACTCGCTTGCACTTCTGTCCACAGGATCTCAGCCTATTCAGCGGAGACGTGCACATTACGGCGGGCAGGATGATCGCGTAAGCGAGCGTACTCACCTCCCGCCGCAAGGCGCAGTGCACGGTGATGACGACGAGGCCCTGCACCGAGTCGAAGACGGCAAAGAGCACCTGGAAGAGCGTGGAGCGACGATCCGTGATGGCCAGGACGGCCGACATCCAGGTGAGGGCCAGCAGGGGGAGCACCACACAGGAGCTCCATAGCGACGCCCTGAACCAACAACAGTGAGCAACAGCGGGTCACCGGGAGGGGTGCGTGGCCGCGGTCCACCCCCACCCCATGCTTACTTGCTAGTGTGGTCTGTTGCCACACTTAGCCGCTAGGCATGCTGGGACAGCTTCTGTTAAAAGAGGCTAATATGGGCCATGCGTCAGGGTTTGGTGGGGTATGGGGGGGCGGTGAGGTTACGCACTCATGTGGGGATGGAGGGGAGGTGTGGCCACAGCGATGAGATGAAGGCATATTTGCACGTTAGCTCCTCTACTTCCTCGCTCTCGCACGCACATGTGCACCGCATACAAAAATGGGTTTTTCTGCTTGTGTCTGAGTGCACTCGGCTCGCATTAGCATAGCAACGACATCAAAGGCTTTGCAGCCTAGGCCTAATGTTAATGCATGCTGTCAATAGCCATAAAATCCATGGCACTTAGATCCTTTGCCGCTATGCCAACATGACACACGATAAGGGACTGATCTGGGTGTGTGCTGCAGGCTCTCATAAAAGCCTGAAATTCAGCAGCACATTAGCACGGTGTTAGCTGCGTATAGCGTTAAACACCCTGTGTACATAATCTGGGGTTTTGGGGACATGGTGCTACTGCTCATCTGGAGGGAGAAATGTGGGTGTGGCTTGCAGAATGGGGGTGGGGGTTCTGGGACATGGTGCTACTTACTGCTCATTTGGAGCGAGAAATGTGGGTGTGGCTTGTAGAAAGGGGGTGGGGGTTCTGGGACATGGTGCTACCTAATGCTCATTTGGAGCGAGAAATGTGGGTGTGGCTTGCAGAATGGGGGTGTGGGTTCTGGGACTTGGTGCTACTTACTGCTCATCTGGAGCGAGAAATGTGGGTGTGGCTTGTAGAAAGGGGGTGGGGGTTCTGGGACTTGGTGCTATTTACTGCTCATCTGGAGCGAGAAATGTGGGTGTGGCTTGTAGAAAGGGGGTGGGGGTTCTGGGACATGGTGCTACTCCTCATCTGGAGGGAGTTAATGTGTTTGAGGCATTTGTGTTTGATTGACAGGGGACTGGGAGGCAGGTGACATTCTCCATTCATTACAGAGAGCAGAAACACAGAGAATGGCTGAGAAAGAGAGAGAAAGAAAGAGAGAGAGAGAGAGAGAGAGAGAGAGAGATGGAGAAAGGTACACCAAACTACATCCAGGGGGCTTATTCACACATGTCCATGCACACACACGCACACACAGAACATCTCACCCCACCCCTTCGAGAAAGAGAGGGGGGAGAGAGATGCAGAGAGAGGGAGGGAGGTAACCAGCAAACAGGCCTTAGCGTGGCTGCTTGCACATGCAAAAGAACCAGTGGTGACCCCACCCGCCCCCCTCCAAACCGGCCCTGGTTCTGTCTGTCCTTAAGGACCCCACTTCATTGGTCGAATCCTGTCCAGGGGCAGAAAGAGCCAGACCACCGGCTTCTGAGAATCATGGCAAAACTGCCGGCATGTCATGCCTGTGATGTGACACGGGTTGCGTGGGTCCATCTTTAATTTATCATCCAGGAATACGTTCACTTTGGCCGAAACACCTACACGCGAGAAGGCTAAAAGCACAGCTTTCCAAAATAAAAGTTATATAATAAAATAAAGTTGCCTTTTAAATTTTTTATGAGCGTTTTTGGCAGAGGGAAGTGAATTCCTCAAGGACGTGCTTTTTTTTTTTTTGTTACAGCCACTACGAGGTGTATGACAGAGAGAAAAGGAGAGGGAAAGATTGAGAGAGAGAGAGAAACAGAGAGAAAGACGTGGGATGGGACTGACATGGCGTTGCTGGTGGTGGCTCTGGAGAGCGCTGTGCTGGAGATCACCCCACACTTGGAGCATTTCAGGAGCAACCGGCTGCGCGACTCCAGCGGCTGACTTTCAGGACGGAACAAACCAAACGCACATCAGGGGGTAGGAGGCAAGGATAGGGCAAACCAAACGAACATGGGGGGGGGGGGGACGACACCACGCATAAGGATGGAACAATCCAAATGTATATGATGGGGTGGGGGGACACACACCATGCATAAAGATGAAACAATCCAAATGTATATGATGGGGGGGGGGGCAAACCAAAAAACATACACGGGGAAAGGAGGACCAACCAAACATACATGTGGAAGAGCACAACAAAGAATGGTTGGGGGGGAGGAAAAATAAACCAATCCAATGTGTAAGGACACACATACACACATAGTGACAGATACACAGATATGCACACATAAGGCAGGAATCATAGCACAAACAGAAGCAGATGTAGCACGGATGGGAAAACAAAAATGGACCACACAGATAGGGAGAGAGGAACATTGAAGAGGAAAAAAGAAAAAAGAAAAGAGTAAATTATATGAGGTGCTAAAGCAGTGGCATGGATAACAGCAGCATCTGAGAGGCAGAGCCAGGGTGGCGGGCAATGAGAGCTCTCAGCACAGAGAGGCGGGCTGACTGGGCAGCCGCGAGCACTAAACACTGCCCTCTGCAGGTCACACATGGTCACACAGCTGGCCTCTGCCACAGAACAGCTACACAGGGGCAGGCTGCTGAAGATTGCTTTCATAGAAAATATGGTCCGGCACAGACATACTGTGGCTCTGAGAAAGGTCAACTCGGGGCTGCCTGCATCTTCTCTTGAGGACACTGGGGTGCCAAGTAAATCCTAAATATGACATTTCGGACTGAGGAGTCCTAGGGCCCAATCTGAGCATTTCTGTGCTGGGTGATGGCTATGGTTTCACTGACACGGTATTTGGCTATCAAAGGAGAAACACCTCCAGACCCCATCATCTGCTGCGGGTGGCCTTTAGAGGAACAGGGGAGAGAGCCGCTGCTTTTCATGTTACAGCCTAAAAATGTCAAATTAGTGACAGTCTGCACGGTGGTGGGCAGGTCTAAAGTTAAGACAATGGAGTAACTCATTAGAGGAGTGTCTCAAAGCAGAAACACAGGCAAAATAAAACCGATATTCTTCATATTGCACAGAGGTCAAAGTCTACGAGAGGCAGTGTGGCTCGGTAGCATCACACTGGCAGAGGGATGTTCTCTGTTTACATGTTCTTCCTGTGTTTGAAGGTTTGTTTGTTTATTACACAATAACGTTGTTAGGTGACCTGGTGTCTCTAAATTGCGCATAGTGTGAGAGTGTGTACCCAGCAATGGACTGGCATCCTGACCAGTGTGTACCCCAGACCTGTGTCCTGCGATGGACTGGCATCCGATCCAGCGTATACCCCAGTCCTGTGCCCAGCAATTCACTGGCATCCTGACCAGTGTGTACCCCAGCCCTGTGCCCAGCAAAGGACTGGCATCCTGTCTAGTGTACCCCAGCCCTGTGATGGACTGGCATCCCATCCAGCGTGTACCCCAGCCCTGTTAACATGTTTAACACCTCATTTAACAACAAGATGTACTGATGACAACGCAGCCATTAACATGTTAACATGCTAACTGGGGTTTTTCAGGTGTCCTAAGGCCCGGACACACATGCTGTTCTGTCTAATTGCTAACTGCAGTGTGGGCCAGGTGGTGAGGAGACAGCTGCATTATTCACACGCAGTGACACTGCTGTCGCTTCTGCCAGCCCCACTGCTAGCGCTTTCAGAGTTAGCTACCGTTACTCAGTTAGTAAGTGCTACTCAATAAGCCAGTGCTGCTCAGATTAGAGTGCTACTCAGCCAATGCTACTCAGTTAGCTACAGTAGTGCTACTCTGTTGGAAAGCGCTACTCAGTAACCCAGTGCTACTCAGTTAGGGAGCACTACTCAGCAAACGCTACTCAGTTAGCTAGTGCTACTCTGTTGGCAAGTGCTACTGTACTCAGTAACCCAGTGCTAATCAGTTAGGGAGTACTACTCAGCCAACGCTACTCAGTTAGCTAGTGCTACTAAGTTAGGGAGTACTACTCAGCCAACGCTACTCAGTTAGCTAGTGCTACTCTGTTGGCAAGCGCTACTCAGTAACCCAGTGCTACTAAGTTAGGGAGCGCTACTCAGCCAATGCTACTCAGTTAGGTAGTGCTACTCTGTTGGAAAGCACTACTCAGTAACCCAGTGCTACTCAGTTAGGGAGCGCTACTCAGCCAATGCTAATCAGTTAGCTAGTACTAATCACTTAGCAAGTGCTACTCAGTTAGCTAGCTAGCGTTACTCAGCTAGCCATCACAGCTCCCCGAGTTCGTCAAATGCATTATGTTGTTATATAATAATCAAAACAGAACAAAATGAACTGAAGACGAAGGGGATTAGAAATGTTCATTACATGGATTATCACCGATCAGTGACTCACGGTCGCTGTTTTTTTTCTGATTAAAACATCACTCAATACTGGATTAATGTCACAATCGAAGTCTAAAAACAGCCTGTGTTTTATTTGTGACAAATAAAAACAGTGGGAGTCAGCGTCTCCTTTTCCGCCAGAACAATGGGGAGATTATAACCATCTAAAATATAGGCTTATCTGTAACACAAAGGAACCACAGCGTTAATCAGCACTGCAAGCTGTCTGCCAATCAGGAAGCACAAACAACAGCATTCAGTGTAACGGACGCAGAGGCACTTGTAGGATTTTTTTAAGGTGGGGGGCATAAGAGGGACCATAATTCATACAGAATAGCTACCTCATCATTAGCCAATGATATATTTTGAATCGGTGAATGACAGGGAGGAGGTACACTGTGGACCAATCAGCTTTCAGCTGGGTCTCTGTGGCTCCGCCCCTGTACACCCCCCCCCCGGATCAACATTGGGTTGCTCATGTCCGGCCTAAAAGCCGAATGACAGGAGCCCCGGATTTGGATAAGCGGGTAGAAGATGCAGCCAATGTGGATATCAGTTGTTTTGTTTCATTCACAGGCACCCAGAGTGAGAGAGAGCTCATTAATGGGTCGTTCCACAAGCTCTGGGGGTTACGGGAATCATGCCACTAGCAAGCTAATAGGGGGTGCGTGTGTATATGTGTGGATGGGGTGGGGTGGGGGGTTCTGGCTGAGTCACAGTCATGACATCAGTGGTGCTAATATGATGCCATGGGCATGGGGGGAAAAAAAGCCCTTATTTATTAAACAAAGGGCCTTCAGTGGCCCCCACCACCGCCTGCCAGGCTGCTGGAATGCCAGCGTGTCCATTAGAGGATTGTTTCCGGGTACGGATCGATGAGCGCCATTAATAATGATGTCATGAAGCATCCCCAGACCCCGATGGCCTTACTGTGGCCTGCGCGGTCAGAGATGGCAGCTTCCGAAATGCCGCCACACCTGAGGACCACGTTCCTCCGTGACTGGCCCTCCTAAGTACTAATAAGTAACACTCAGCAATACCGCTGTCGATGCAGGATGTCTGAAACCCTCCAGGAAGGGAAGCTCGTAGGCAGGGCGCTTCCGCCTGGTCTCACCTACCCGGCTCTCTGCTTCTTGGACTTGTCCGAGATGCCGTCCCTGGCCATCAGTTTGTTGAAGACCACGATGCCGATCAGCATGTTGACCTAGAAGAGAGGCGTGCCGTCACACGTCGGGGGAGGGGCGGGCAAACACGGCGCAGCGTTTATGGATAAACGGGTGGACGGGTCAGGGCGGTGAGGCCGGGGCCTGCTGCTTTGCGCTTCACTCCACGCGCGGCTGCCAGGCGCCAGGACGTCGACGAGCGCCAGCACTATGCAGTGTCTGCTACGCTCTTCCTCCCCGCTGCGTTCGGTCTGTCCTTCAGCAGCCCGGCAGGTGACGCCGGCCTCCCTTCCCCAGCTAAAAAGTCGAGCGTGACGGGGTGCCGTCGCTAATGCGCTAAGCTGACAAAAACTGACCTACGGGCGCACGTGTTTTCTTGGGCAGTGGGCCCGTGCTCGGCGTGAGCGGCGCTGTGCCTGACATTGCTGCCGCTGATCTCTTTCGTGCGTTTTCGGGATGAAGTGCCGACTCCTTCGGGCTGGGCTCTTATCAGACGGACTCTGTCAATAGCTACCCGGTTGGCACACGCCCACACGCGCGAGCGCAGGACATTATGCTAATTCCACCTAACTTTGAGAGGTTGGTAGTGCTTACACACCCAGGTGCCCGTGTCTCCAAGCATAATGTGTGCCTGTTCTCACGCCGCTAATGCACAGCCCATATGCAAGACGCAACTGCTTACTACTGTATGATTTCCCTAAGGCGAAATTAATTATTTTTCCATTAATTAGGTATTGACATCCCAGGAGGTGGGAAAGTGTGTCGCATGTGCTTCCAGATGCCTAAACGCGTTTGCAGCTGTGTTTATGTGCGGGTGCCTGAGCATGCGTCACCAGACGGTGCCTGAACACGCGAACAGCAGAAACTGTCTCAAACTCTGAGATCAAAGCTAACAAAGCAATGCAGCATCAGAGTCTGTTGTGCAGCGTCTCCCCAAAGCTCTCGCTGGGAATTACATGCATAAATAGACGAGCGCACTGGGGAACACCTACACACTCTGGCAAGAGGCGCAGTGCATTGCAGTGGTGACTGCCGAGCTACAGGAGAGCATCAGTCAGGGTGCCTTGTTCTGAGGAGCGCCGACCTAGCAAACCACTGGTTCCAATACCCCCACTGCCCATTGTCCCCCCCCCCCCGCCAGTACAGGGAGAAATAGGGCAGTGCTATTTGTCAGGGGTGGGGGGGAGAGCTACTGCTAGCAGGGACGCTGAAGAATTACCCGCTCTGACTATTCGCCCTCAAATCTTCGCCGACAGAAAAGTGATGCATCATAGGATGGTGTTACTACTGAGTGACTCACCAGTACGATGACGGCAGCAGGCCCCACAAAGGCGTAGAGCAGGCCTCCTTCCAGGGATAGCCAGCAGCTGGGGGCACAGGGGGGGCAGGGTTAGTCCGAACACGCTGAGGCAGCCGCAGGCTCGGGGCCAGGCATAGCTAGTTTTGCAATCCGGACCGTTATAGTCACAGCACATTGGCAGTCACAGCCAGGGCAGGCGGAGGTGCAACCGCGGCTTTGGTCACAGCGTAGACACGATCGAAATCCAGTCATAGTCACGTGACGTCGACATCGGCAGGACACCCTACGTCACTGAACTGGAACTGAACCGAGTTAAGTCACATTTCCGGACATAAGCCTTAAACGAGGCTTTGCAAACATGACATGTAGCCAGCAACCCTTCTGGAAGGGCCCTGTCATGTGACGTGAGGTGGTTGATGAGTTGGGCAGAGGGGAATTGTGGGTAATCCTAGAATGCGCTGATGCAGTGGGGGGAACACTCACTAGTTGGGGGTGCCGTAGCCCCTGGCTCGGGTGAATCCCACCGAAACAGCCACGACGAGAGCCGGGAGACCTGGAGGAGAGCAGGAAGAAGGGAAGGTGAGAGTCAAACGGATGAAATGTTTGGTACGGTGCCATCTCTCTCCCCCCAAACTTACACAGTTCAAATACTGATAGCTACCCAACATACCCAAATGCCCAGAGGAACACCACTGCGTTTCCATACATATTAATGTGTGAGACTGTGCACTTATACGCCCTGCGATGGACTGGCACTCTATCCGGGGTGGGGGGCGGCACTGCCATTACTGTCAAAAAGGATGCATGGATGGACTGTCCCCTACTGATGTGCATGATGATGCCGGTCTGGGCATTATTTTCCCAAAACCCCTGGGTAATTGGTTCTACACAAAGGAACAAAAAATATTAATGGGAGACTCCCCCCAGAGCAAGATCCCCCCCCCCGGTACTAACCTCCAGCGTAAGGCTGGCTTCTCCAGCTTCTCTGCCCCCGAGGCATTTGGGGTGGGGGTGCTAGACACCATAAATCACGTAGGCGTTGGTGTCCCGCCTTAATTAGGCTCATCAGCTACAACCCCCCTGTTTTGCACCTGGGTGGAAACTTGCGAGGCTCGCCTTGTATGCTTATTAGCGAGGCGCTGATTACTGCGGCAAATTAAACACAAACATGCAGCGATGAACTGATGAGAGAGGAGTGTGAAAACTTGGCGAAATTAAGGCTAAACAAGCGAACAAGCCTGGTTTTTCGTTCCCAGCGCTCCTCATCAGTACCCCTCAAGCTGTGTGTTTTAGAGGGTTTCAGTTAGCGTGAAATAAATAATTTACTATCTCATCAAACAGTTTTGCAGCAATGCCTTATTTCTCGATGCATTTCCATGTCGAGCACAATTTTTCTCCTAACGTGAAGCCTTGATAATGCTGCCATACATGTACTTCGAAACATTCAGCCCCGAGAAACATAATCCATTTTTAATGGCGGACCTTCAGAGGGCATCGCTGAATTAATAAATCCGCCCATTTGATCAATAAATAAAGGGAGCTGAGGTAAGTGCTGAAATATCTCCCAGGATGCTCCTTTGCAGAGAGACGCTACGCTCCGATTTAAAAAAAAATGAGCAACCCACCCGATGCCCATGACTCACACCGTAACTGGCCGAGATGGGAGGATGCTACCATAGAGACGGCCGCACTGTGACTCAGGTGCCTGCACCAGTGGCCAAAATCGTACAGTTAAGGAGCAACTGGCGATTGACTTGGCAGGAGAGGCTATATAATCAAAATATTTTCTGGAGAGTAAAATAACAATATCTTTTTTTTTGTGATCCAATTTTTAAATAACAATATCTGAAGTGAGTCACCTTTATTATGTAACAGAACATTACTTATTTAAGAAGAAAAAAACAACAATGCCATTAGAATAAAAAAATAAGCGAAGGAACATGTTGCTAAGAATTAGTGTCCGCTGACACGGAAACTGGCACTGCACTGCCAGCAGAGAGCCGGATTCTGGGAGATAATTTGTCTCGGATCCGGAATTTCTTTAAAAAAAAAAAAAAAACAATAATTTCAGGAAGGGGGTGATGGGGGGTGGTGCAGATGCTAGCGGCGGGTGTCCTACCCCAGCCGAGGCAGAGGAAGCGCTTGCGAATGAGGCGCGACCTCATCTTGCCGGTGACGGCCATGTAGGACTGCCACGCCTCCGTCAGCACCCAGCAGAAGGACGCCAGGAAGAAGAAGTGCAGGAAGGCTGCAGTCATGGCGCACAGCCCCTGTGGGGGGGGGGGGGGGGTGTTAAGCATCTCTGTGAACAGAAATCTCGGGGCCGAGGGGGTACGGAATAGGTGTCCCTGAAACACCACTCCTGTTCAACAGCTGAAACCTTTGCCATACCACCCCCCCCCCCCCCCCCCCCCCCCCCCCCCCCCACCC